GAGCAATCTAGCGAAGGTCACAAACTTAATACTTTCTGTTGTACCAAAGTCCTCACTAATTTTGTGCATCAACAATCCTCAAGTCCTTACCTTTTTGCATTGGTAATGGATGAGTTAACATGACATATTCAAGATGTTATTCCTTGGTGTATGCTTTTCGCAGACGATATAGGGTTGATAGATGAAACTCAGGAAGGGGTAAATGCGAAGCTTAACCTTTGGAGAGAAGTGTTGGAATCTAAAGGTTTTCGCCTAAGCCGATCAAAGACAGAATATATGGAATACAAGCGGGATGGATGAAGTGGAAGAGTGCATCTGGCGTGTTGTGTGACCGTCGTATGCTACTGAAGCTCAAGGGAAAATTTTATAGGACGGCAATAAGGTCGGCGATGCTGTATGGCACAGAATGTTGGGCGGTAAAGCATCAACACGTACACAAAATGGGTGTAGCGGAGATGAGGATGCTTCGTTGGAGGTGTGGGCTCACGAGAAAGGATAAGATTAGGAATGAGTGGGTTAGACATGTACAAAGAAGGCCTACTGACGCTCTAGTTTGAAGATGGGACTACGGGACAGAGGTTCAGAGCCGAAGGGGTAGAGGAAGACCTAGGAAAACTTTGGAAGAGACCCTAAGAAAAGACTTAGAGTACTTGGATCTAACGGAGGACATGACACAAAACCGAGCGCAATGACGTTCTAGGATTCACATAGCCTACCCCACTTAGTGGGAAAAGGCTTTGTTGTTGTTGTTGTCGTCTTGTTTATCTTGATGACTCATTCTCAACACCTGGTTATGAGATATTTGATCAATGGGAGTTTGGTTAAGAGGATTTGGGGGCTGGTTATTAGTTCGATCAATTGGAGTTTGATCAAGACAAGCAATCCTACTTTGGTATACCTTCCTTGGAGTGGAAGATTGTTGGGTTTTTCCAGCCCATGAGTTGTCTTAAGTCTATTGAACATTATAGCCGGATTAAGTTGTTTTTCCAATTGGAGTGGTTTTCCCAATTTGAGTTGGTTTCTCAATTGGAGAAGGATTCATAACTAGATTCCAATTAGGATTAGTAATCCTTATTGAAGATGACCTATACTATGTCTATATACATGGGCTACTGCACTAGTTTTGAAGTGGAGCACTACAATAAGTTGTATACCACTTAGGGAGTTAAGAGTGAGAGTGAGAGAATATTGTAAGGGTAAAGTGTCTGTGAGATAAACGAAAAGAGATGAGAGGTATTTCATGTTCTTGTTCTTTTAGGTTTTTCATTAGTAATCCTAGAGGCTTGGCAAGATTATTCATTATACTCATTATTAATATAGTAGAAGTTTGTTGCTGCCTCGTGGACGTAGGCACCATAGCCAAACCACGTAAATTCTTTGTTTATCTTGATTACTTGTTTTCAATTTCTTGAGTTTGTCTCACTTTTCCCATTCTTAAATGCAATAGTCACAACAAAACTTTTATAACCTTCACAAGTATTGCATAACAATAGAAAAACCAATGTAGGAACATGATAAGAAAAGATTTGTACCACAACAATGGCATCACTAGATGGTTATGTTAAGCCCAATTCAAACTATGTGTTGTTAGGAATAGGCGTTGATGTTAGTGTCCTATTTCGTTTAGGATTGTATTAGGAAAGCTAAGGTGTACAGATTCTTATCCTAAAAGGACTAGGAAAGAATTAAGTTTTCTTGTATAATTTAGATTCGGAATCCTAGAAGCCTAATTGGAACAAGAAAGAAAGTGTACTTTCCTATCCATATAGAATATGAAACTTAATTAGATTATAGACACATAAGGAGCGGCAAGGCTGAAAAACACAGAGAAAAACAGACAGCCAAGAGAGAAGAGAGAGATTACTTCTAAGGTTTGCAAAATTATTGCATACACTACTATTAATCAAAGAGGTGGTTTCTCTACCCAGAGAAACCATAACTGGATGTAGGCAAAAGTTCTGCCGAACTAGTATAAATCTTGTGTGTTTCTCATTCTCTATTTTGCTCAGTTTAGTCTATTGCCAGATACATCAAAGAACAAGATGAGAGTCAGAATTATAACATGTGTAATTGTGAAGAATGATGAGTAAAAATGTCCTAGTACTTAAATTCATCTCACTAAGAAAGGACTTCTACTCAAGATTGAATCAACCAAAAAATATACCAACAGAAGCACCAAACACATAATAGAAGGCAGGCCCTTTGTGGACCTACATAACTGCCACCGGCACAACAGCTACTAAATATTACCGTTAAAAAGCTAAAACAATTTGGGAAAGAGTAATATATAGAAGGCCTAATCAGATAATTAGTCCCTGTGGTGCTAATCTAATCGGAAGATGGTCCCCGTGGTAAAAAAAATGGGATTTAAACCCCCGTGGTGTTAGTCCGTTAGCAAATTTAGTCCATAAGTGATTTTTCTGTTCAATGTCTGTTAAATACAGGGGTAAAAATGTACACCCTCTTCCTTGTCTCTATGCTCTCTCTCTACAATTTGTATTTTCTTGCCTGATGTCATCATTGGCAGCGGCCAGAACTTGAGGTTCTTCGAATGATTGTGAGCACGTGAGCTTCTTCGGAATTTGACAGCAGCCATTGGTCTGTTCTCTTATTCCTCTATCTGCTTGATTGCTATAATCATGCCACATCCAGAGAATTGGGTCAAAAAAATAGAAAAGGTTGGCTGCATCAAGGATGGGAATTGGCCGGTTAGAAAACCCACGAAATGGTTGGAGATAGACATATAGGAGAGAAGATGAATATACAAATTTTAGAGATTAAAAGAGAGTGAATAAAAAGAAAGAGTGAGGAATCAAGCAGATAGAGGAATAAGATAACATATCAACGGCTGCTGTCAAATTCTGAAGAAGCTCACGTGCTCACAATCGTTCGAAGAACCTCAAGTTCTGGCCGCTACCAATGATGACCTCAGGCAAGGAAATACAAATTGCAGAGAGAGAGAGCAGAGAGACAAGGAAGAAGGTGTACCTTTTTACCCCTGTATTTAACGGACATTTAACAAAAAATCACCTTTGGACTAAATTTGCTAACGGAATAACACCACGAGGGTTTAAATCCTAATTTTTTTACCACGGAACCTATCATCCGATTACATTAGCACCACAGGGACCATTTATCCGATTAGGCCTATATAGAATTAGTCTTGAACTTGGAGCCTAGGTTAGAATTGGCATGAACTGAAAAACGTTAAATTTTGATCCTTGAATTTCATAAAACGTGCAAAACTAGTTCTTTTGATTGACATCATTAACAACTCCGTCTAAAATCACCATGCGATGCACATGAGCTTCACAATAGGGGTATATCAAGCAAAACTCCAACCATTTGACGTAGAGAGTTGATGTAAAGCCGATGCAAATCTGCTTGTGGTGGAGTCGTGGAGCTATAAGTGAGATCTCAACCGTCGAGTCCCATGTGATAAAGAACGGGTCACAGCTCAAAATTTGCACATTATTCAGGGTGCATTTGGATTAGATTGGGTTGCCCGGTGACCGGAGAAGTGGCCCCGGGTCAGGTCCGGAGGGAGACTTGCAGGTCAAAGCTTGGGAGTCATCTCCCATCTTAAAATCCGCTCACACATCTATTCCCATGCGGTAATCAAAGAAAAAGGAACCTTTCCCATTAGACTCTGGATTCCAGATTTGAGGTTTCCGTTTCTTTTTTCTGACATTTTCCATGCCGCACTTACAAGGGGAGTGCTGGCTAATTCGTGGTTCATGTTGCACCTCCTCCAAACCCCTATCCATACTGAGGTTGGGCTCTTTCCATTTTTAGATCAAGAGCCAACGCCATTTGATACCATACCAAGAAATCAAAGACAATAGTTCAATCAGATACTCTGCCTTATTGTAATTCATTAAGAAAGATAATATAACAGCTCACTAATTTGTTCTCTTTTCTTCTTAAAGATAGCCCAAATACCTTATAACGAAGCTTGAGCATGTCACATGGTGATTTTAGACGGAATTGTTACCAGTGTCAATTAAAAGGACCAGTTCTGCACGTTTTATCAAATTCAAGGGCTAAAATTAACGGAATTTAAGTTCAAGGACCAATCCTAAACTAGGCTCCAAGTTCAGGGACTAATTATATATTTTACTCTTTTGGGAAACGAAGAAAAGAAGATCATTCTGTCATACAAAATGAACATAGTAAAGATGATAGAATGTTGTTCTTATATCATTTTCTATCATAAGAAATGAAAACTTACATTCAGCATCTTGAGATGATGGCTATTAAACTCTGACTCGCTATAAGGAAGTAACTGGCGCAAAAGCCAACCACCATCCCATAATGTCTCTGCAGATATATTTGAACGGCAAAAAAGACTGACCAATGCATCAAGAACCTAGGTAGCACACCCAGAAATAAAATGAGGTTACAAGTTTCAAAACAGGTAAAAGTAGACTGCAATTTCAATTGAATAATACAAGGGGGAAATGGGGATCTATGTGTGCCACTTATTGTCTAAATGCATCCACAAATATATACACTTATTGTATATATTTAGGGATTAAAGACAAGGAATGAAATTATGCACACAACAGCTGGCTCACATCCAAGCATCTAAACTTGTGGGAACAGTGGTTAACAAGAAAAAGTTAAAGTAACCTCTAAGTAAGAAATCATAACTTTAAACCAGAACAATTTAATATAATTTCAAAACAAGAAATCATGAGTTTAAATCTCTGCGGATACAGCCTCACAATGTCGAATTTAGTATCTCTAACTCTCTAGTGGTATAGACAGACCTTCACATGATATGAAGTGCTAGAATATATAGAAGTAGTTGGCTCAAATCCTAACAGCTTAAGCTATTGGAGGCAGTGATTTTTTATTTTTTTTTTGAGAAGAAACAATTTTATTAAAGAATAGAGTAATACACAGAAGTGGATAAGAAGTCCACCAACTATATTAGAAAGGAAAATCCCAATAGGATTTGGCTACAACAGCCATTTCTAGACCTAGCTCACTTAACTGCTGCTAACAAATCCCACAGTATTTGAGATAGAGAGCAATTATTAAACTCTTTAGTGACTGAAGCCCAAAAGCTGCCCAATATTTTACTCTCCCCCAAAGTACTTCTGCCCCCACTCCAGTATAGTCTTCAAAAATCCTTTTGTTGCGTTCCAGCCATATATTCCAAAAAATTGCCGATACCAAGCAACCCCACAAAGCTTTGGATTTTTTCCCTTTTCCAAGTGCCTTAAAGTTTGTACCTAGTAGCTCGAAACACCCTTTAGGAATGACCCAACTTACCTTAACCTCCTGAAACAGTTTCCACCACAGTTGGATCGAGTAAGAGCAATGAAGAAAGATGTGATTTACACTCACCTCCATAGCTTTGCACAAACTACACCAATGTGGGGATAAACACATACGAGGGTTTCTCCTTTGAATTCTGTCGCAAGTGTTGAGATTCCCATTGGCCACAAGCCATACAAGTATTTTAACCTTCTGAGGAGCTTTTGATTTCCAAATCTGAGAGTAGGGTGGATAATAGTGCACAATCCCATTGTTGCTCAGTAATGAACGATAGGATTTGCATGTGAACAAACCTGAAGCTTCCAAATTCCACCTTCTGTTATCCATTTTTGATGGAGACAAGCGAACCTCTTCCACTTTCTGTAATAATGTGGCCGCCTCTTCTATCTCCATCTCATTCAGATTTCTCCTAAAGTCAAAGTTCCAACTCAAGGAATTTGACGAACCTTCCACGAAGCGTGAGATGTTATGACCATGCTTCCTCGATAGTAGGAATAATTTGGGGAATTGCTCCTTCAGCGGTCCCCCTGCTAACCACCCATCCTCCCAAAACCTCACCCTCTCTCCGTTGCCCACCTTAAACTTGCAATATCTAAGAAACTGATGAGAACCACTCGAAATGTCTTTCCATGGGCTACGACTTGAAACCCTTCTTGGAGGAAGTGCATTCCATCCATTAACTTGTAGCCCATACTTGCTTCTTATCACCTTGTGCCATAGAGACTGAGACTCCATTGGGAATCTCCACAACCACTTAGCCAATAATGCTTCGTTCTGATTCCTCAAATTCCCCACCCCTAGACCTCCTTCCTCCTTGTTTTTAGTAACTAACTCCCATTTGACCAAATGAGTTTTCTTACCTTCCTCCACGCCTTCCCAGAGAAACCCCTTCATTAGTTTTCTAGACGTCCTCTTACCCAGCAAGGAATTTTGAACAAGGACATATAGTAAATCGGCAAGCTTCCCAAGACTGATTGAATTAGAGTTAATTTACCTCCTCTGGATAGGAAAGCCTTCTTCCAACTTTGAAGTCTTCTTTCCATTGTTTCTACCACTGGATCCCAAAACTTTATTGCTCTTGGCCTGCCCCCAAGGGGAAGTCCCAGATACTTTATAGGCCAACAGCCTACCTCGCAACCCCAAGAAACTGCCATCCTGTTTAATTTCTCACTCTCTGAATTTATTCCTGCCAAAAAGCACTTAGCTTTGTTGATTTTCAATCCTGAGACCGAACAGAATAAGATGAGCACTTGTAATAGGTTGTTCCAAACTTCCTCGTTTTCAGTCAAGAAGAATATGGTGTCGTCGGCAAATTGAAGATGAGAGATCTCCACCTTTTCTTGCCCGATACACAAACCTTTGATGAGATCATTTTCTTGAGCCTTCTCCATTAACCTACTCAAAACATCAACTACTAAGGTGAAGAGAAAGGGTGACAGTAGGTCGCCTTGTCTCAGTCCTCTTGAAGCTTGAAATTTCCCATTGGTCTCCCATTGATCAAAACAGAGAAATTTGCAGAGCATAAACATCCCTGCATCCATTTCCTCCATCTATTGCCAAAACCTTTTCTTTGAAGTACTTCTAGAAATCTCCATTCAACATGATCATACGCTTTTTCAAAGTCGATCTTGAGCACCAATCCCTTCTCTTTTTTCTGCCTCACCTCTTCTACCACTTCATTTGCAATGAGGACAGCATCCAAAATTTGTCGGTCCTTAACAAACGCCCCCTGATGCGGAGAGACAGTGGTAACCAAAACCTCCTTCAATCTTGAAGCCAGTGTTTTCGCTATAATTTTATACAATCCAATTACTAAACTTATGGGCCTATAGTCCATCACCTTCAAAGAGTCTGACTTCTTCGGGATTAGGCAAATGAAAGTTTCGTTCGTCACTGCATTTATTATCCCTTTCTCAAAGAACTCCTCCATGATCTTCATTATATCCTCCTTCAAAATATCCCAGCAATGTTGGAACATTTGCATAGAGAAGCCATCCGGTCCTGGCGATTTATCCTTTCCACAATCGAAAACTACTCTTTGAACTTCTGCTTCCTCAAAAGGCCTCTCAAGCCAACTTGCCTCAAGGGCGCTTATTGAGGCCCAATTTATACCTTCTAAACCCCAGCATGCCTCGTCATTACTGCTAAATAAGGATTTGAAAAAATTGACGATATGCTCTTCAATCTCTTTTACATCCTCTATCATTCCCCCTCCAACCGGCTCCAACCTTTCAATATAGTTTCTCTTTCTTCTCCCATTTGCAACTCGATGGAAGAATTTTGTATTACCATCCCCTTCCTTTGCCCATTCTACTTTGCTTCTCTGCCTCCATTCACTTCTTCTTTAAAAGCCAAGTCTCCCACAAGGGTTTGGAGTTCTTCCCTTTTACTTCTAGCTTCAAAATCCAAGCCTTCCATCCCCTCTCTCCTATCCAACTCCTCTATGTTTGCTTCCGCTTCTTTCAAGACTTTTTCGATTTCGCCGAAGCTCTCCTTACTCCAGCTTTGCACCTTTTTTTTCATGGCTTTTAACTTGATCATAAATTTATAACCCTCCCACCCCTCCACTTGCTCCGATTGCCACCATTCCTTGAACTTGTTCCTGAATTCTGGATCTTGGAGCCACATGTTTTCAAATCTGAAAGGACATGGCCCCCATTTCACTTTGTTGGTGCCTAGCTAGATTGGACAATGATCGGAAATGACCCTAGCCAAGGCCGTTTGTCTAGCCTCAGGAAAGATATCTTCGCAACCTTTAGAGCATAAAAATCTGTCTAATCTCCGACACACAGGTTCTTCTCTGAGATTTGACCAGGTAAATTGTGCATTGAGCAGATCCAAATCCTTGAGTTCTGTCTCTCGAATGAAATCATTAAAATTCCTCATGCTTTTAGTCAGCCTCCCCCCATTTGATTTCTCATTTATAAATCTAACCACGTTAAAATCTCCTCCTACACCCCATCTTGATCCACACATACCATAAAGTCCCGCCAATTCTTCCCAAAACTCCCTTCGCTCTCTATTTTTACATGGGCCATAGACTCCGAATAGCCACCACTCCATCCCATTGGGAGCCTTAATTTTTATTGATGCAGAGAAAACACCGACCAAAGATTCCGTTACTGAAATGTGTTTTGTATTCCAGATTACAGCTATGCCCCCTAAGCTTCCTTGAGCAGGGGCAAAAATCCACTCTTTATATCTACTTCCCCACACGGTAGCCACAAGACTTCTGTCAATCAAAGTTTTCTTAGTTTCTTGTAGTATGATGATGTCGGGCTGTAACCATTGGAATTGCTTTTTCAATGCTAGCCTCTTCCGTCTACTTCCCAATCATCTAACGTTCCAACTAATTATCTTCATTAAAACTAATAGTGCCCCTGTGAAGTTTGCTTTCTCCTTTGAGACCACCCTCTCTCTTGCCTCTTCTAACTTTCCCATTCTTCGTTTCTTGGAATAGAGACCTTTTCAACGGGACAGTGATTGAACTCTATATCTCACATGTAGACTAAAAGATAACTCAAAGGAGGAATTGCAGACAAGACAGCAAAAGTAAAAGAAGGTATTTTGGCTCAATCCCTCGATACCTCAGAGGGTGCATTATCATTGATTTAAATAGTGTACAATGACTTGATTTACAAGTATAATTAATCTACAAAGAATACATAAAGGGAATGTTTTAATAAAACAGGGAAATCTGGAAATCATGATGAAACAGGAAACAATCCCAAGAGATCAGGAATGTATCATCCTTTACGCCCCCGCAAGCTGACAGTACAATCAAGTACAGGAAGCTTGGAAACCAGAAGTCGAAAACGAGGAAGAGAAAGGCCCTTGGTGAAGATGTCAGCAATCTGATCATGAGTTGAAAGATAACGAACATCAAGCTCCTTGCGAACAACCTTTTCACGAACATAATGGTAATCTACCTCAACATGCCGAGTGCGGGCATGAAACACCGGGTTGGAAGCAAGGGATATAGCACTGATATTGTCACAGAACAGTGTAGGACAATGGAGAGGAAACTGGAGGTCACGGAACAGCATACGAAACCATGAAAGAGTGGCAGCGGTGATTGCAAGTTGACGATACTCGGCTTCAGTGCTGGACCGAGAGACCCCATTTTGTTTCTTGGCACTCCATGAGACAAGATTGGAACCCAGATACAAGCAATAGCCCCCGGTGGAACGCCGATCATCAGGATCCCCGGCATAATCGGCATCGGAAAATGCCGTAAGACGAAATGAACCAGGCGTGTAGATAAGACCGTGAGAAGTAGTGCCGACAAGGTAACGAAGAATGCGTTTGACGGCGGCCCAATGAGTAGAAGTCGGCTGGTGAAGAAATTGGCAGACTTGGTTGACGGCGAAGTTGATGTCGGGGCGAGTGAGAGTCAAGTATTGAAGGGCGCCGACAACACTTCGGTATTCAGTAGGATCCGGCAGAGGGTCACCATCCTGAAGACTGAGCCGTCGCCCACTAACGGCAGGAGTAGGAACCGGCTTGGCACCATGCATTTTGGTGCGGTGAAGGAGGTCAGTGGCATACTTCTGTTGGGAAAGAGAGAGACCTGATGGAGTGCGGACCACCTCCATGCCTAAGAAATAATGAACCGGTCCAAGGTCCTTCATAGAGAAACGGATGCCCAAATTCTTAATGAGGGTGACAATATGAGAGGGATTATTCCCGGTGACCAAAATATCATCAACATAAATTAAGAGATAAATACGAGTTGAGCCATGAATATAGGTAAAAAGCGAGTGATCCGCGGTAGAGGGACGAAAACCCAAATCTTCCAAATGAGTGGAAAAACATTGGAACCATGCACGGGGCGCCTGCTTGAGCCCATATAAAGAACGACGAAGGCGGCACACATGATGAGGGAACTGTGGATCAACAAAGCCACGAGGTTGGTGCATATAGACCTCCTCAGACAAAGAGCCATGAAGAAAAGCATTCTGAACATCCAACTGACGAACAGGCCATTGAAACTGAACTGAAAGAGCCAAAATTAAGCGAATAGTAGAGTGATTAACAACAGGACTAAGAGTTTCACCATAATCAAGGCCGGGTTGCTGATGAAAACCATTGGCTACCAAACGAGCCTTATACCGCTGAATAGACCCATCAGAATTCTGTTTAATACGAAACACCCATTTGTTTGGCAAAATATTCATAGAAGCAGTACGAGGAACAAGAGTCCAAGTACCAGCACGTTGAAGTGCATTAAATTCATCGGCCATCGCAGTACGCCATTCGGGAAAAGTGTTGGCCTGACTAAAGCAAGTAGGCTCAATAGGACCGGTAGAAGAAATGGCAGCAGAAAAAACATATTTAGGAGGCTTAAGAGAAGCCGTTTTGGACCTGGTGAGCATACCATGGGAAGGAGAGGGCACGGCAGGTGGTACAGCAGCAGAGGGAGCCTCTGGAGGCGCATCAGAGTGAACGGCAGAGGGGGTGGCTGCTTGTGCAAAAGAAAGAACCCGCCTGTGAGGGTCACGGGAGTAAACCTGGAGGGCCGGCTGTGGTGGGTCGGATGATGGACGGGATTGATGAGTCTCCAAAGAGGGGGACACAACCACCGGTGGGCTGCTAGACAGTCGGGGGGCACGCGGAAGAGGCCCAGTGATTTCTAAAACAGGAGGAGGAGACGAGGCCGGAGAGGACGGGGCAAGAGAGCCAGAGATGGCCTTGAAAGGAAAATTACCTTCATCAAACACAACATGGCGTGATAAAAAGATGCGATTAGTAGAGATGTCTAAGCACCGATAACCTTGATGATTGAGAGAGTAACCAAGAAAAACACATTTAGTAGAACGAAATTGGAGTTTATTATTATTATAGGGTCGTAGGTAGGGAAAACATGCACACCCAAAGGTCTTTAAAAAACTATAATCAGGTTCTTTAAGAAACAACTTTTGATAAGGAGACATAAAACCAAGTACTTTAGAGGGGAGGCGATTGAGAAGATAAACTGTTGTGTGCATGGCCTCAGCCCAGTAGGCAGGAGGCATCGACGCATGGGCCATTAAAGTAAGTCCAGTGTCGACAATGTGACGGTGTTTGCGTTCCGCCAAACCATTTTGTTCGGGATGGTGAGGGCATGAGAGACGATGATGAATCCCATGGTGAAGAAAAAAATGCTTGAATTGATGACTAGTGTATTCGCCCCCACCATCAGACTGAAACATCTTAATTTTAGTGGAGAATTGATTTTCAACCAAGGTCTTAAAGTGAGTAAAAATATTAAAAACTTCAGATTTTAATTTCATGGGATAAATCCAAGAATAACGAGAGAAATTATCAACAAAAAGAACATAATATTGGAAACCACTAACAGACTTATTGGACGCACTCCACACGTCGGAGTGAATAAGCTCAAGAGGAGCGTGAGTAACAGACAAGGATGCAGAAAAACGTAACTTAACACTTTTGCCTAAGGGACAAGAATGACACATAAAAGTATTGAGATTGAGGTTGCCAGAAACAGGCAATTTATTCGAATGCCTAGAAAAAAGAAATTTTAAAATGGAAGAAGATGGATGGCCTAAACGAGAGTGCCAGACATCACTACTAACACGAACACCAAGAAAAGCAGCACGACCATGAGCAGTCGGTGATGAAGAGGAAAAGGGATAAAAGCCATTGCTACTCTTGCCCGAAAAAAGAATCGTCCCCGTCTCCATATCCTGAATATAGAAACAAGAAGGAAACAATGTAATATAACAATTGTTATCCAACATAAACCGATTAGCAGACAACACAGAAGTAGAAGCATCCGGACAATGAAGAACATCATTAAGCTTGAAAGAAATATTATTATGAGAGAGAGTGGAGGAGCCAATACGGTTAATGGGCAAACCTGTACCTCCAACGACACCACCGACGGAATCACCACCACGATAATCGCGGGACTGAGACAAAGTATTGAGATCATTGGTGATATGCGAGTTGGCCCCGGAATCAAGAAGCCAAGGCTGGGAGTGCTGAGCAGTCAAGGCAGTGAGACGTGAAGAAGGAGGACGACCTTCATAAGCCAAATTAAGGCGTTGAGCACAGTCAAGAGCACCATGTCCAAAAGTATTGCAAATCTGGCAGCGAGGACGGGAGGAACCGTGAGATGGGGCTGGACCAAGAACCCCAGAAGTATTGTTGGAGCCACGGAAGCGAGAGCCGTCGTGCTGAGGACGACTACCACCACGATCGCGAAACGGACGGTCATGGAAACCACCAGCACCGCGATAGCCACGATAGCCGTCACCACTATTGTTGCGAGACCCATCATGTTGAGGACGACCACCCCCACGTGAGAAACGGCCAGAGCCACGATCGCCGCCGCGATCAGAAGAGAAGCGGCCACGAGAGGCAGAAGAGCCGCGGGTGGCTACCAGGGCCGAGACGCTGGAGTCCGGCGGAGCAGGAGGATCAGCAAGGCGAAGTTCAACAGTGAGAAGAAGAGCCTCAAGATCAGGAAGGGAGATGGGCTTGTCACGGGCCTGAGCAGCAGCAACAATGTTCTCAAATTTGGGGCCGACATTAGACATGACGACCGGCACCATGTCATCAGGAGAAACAGGTGCCCCGGCAAGAGCCAATTGATCTGCAATACCATTGATCTTATCAAGAAAGTCAGAAATTGAAGAATCACCTCGTTTGGTCTGGAGAAGAAAGCAGTACGAAGCTGAAAGAATGCGACTTTGGTTTGTAGAAGCAAAACGCTGCTGAAGAGCAACCCAAACATCACGGGCAGTGGAATGACGAGCAGTGGCGGCGAGGGCCTGGTGATCAAGAGAGCCATTGATCCAAGAAAGAACAAGCTGGTCCTTCTGAACCCAGTCAGCATACGCGGGGTTGGGCTTGGGAGAGGCGTTGCCGGTAGCGTCGGACAAGAACGCCGAGGGGCAGATGGAAGTACCATCAACAAAAGCCAACAATTGACGACTGCGAAGAACAGGTAGCAACTGAGCCAACCAAAGAGGATAATTGGAAGAGTCAAGTTTGATGGAGATCGCATGAGAAACAGAAGGGAAGATGTCGGAGGAAGGAGTAGTCGAACTGGTTGAGGCAGCCATGGAAAAGAGTAGTAAGAATCCGAAAAAAAAAAAAAAAAAAAAACGTTAGTCACTGGCTCTGGATACCATAAAAGATAACTCAAAGGAGGAATTGCAGACAAGACAGCAAAAGTAAAAGAAGGTATTTTGGCTCAATCCCTCGATACCTCAGAGGGTGCATTATCATTGATTTAAATAGTGTACAATGACTTGATTTACAAGTATAATTAATCTACAAAGAATACATAAAGGGAATGTTTTAATAAAACAGGGAAATCTGGAAATCATGATGAAACAGGAAACAATCCCAAGAGATCAGGAATGTATCATCCTTTATAGACCTCTCCTACATCACTAATGCCACATGTGGAATTCAAGAAAAGTTGGGAGGATCCAGCTGTAGACTCGGAAAATCTTGTGATCATTTATAATTTAGACAGCTGACTACTGTTTCCCAAAAGCGTAAGTCGTTAGGATGACGACTAACTATTATTCTACCTTCTAACTATGCCTATTAATAACCTTAAAAGAATCTCCTATCAATGGTTAAAGAACACAAGACTGTAATATAGCAAATTAAGTAAAATCCTTGCAAAACAAACCAAAAGAAATGGAAGTAAAACTCAAATAAAAAAATCCTTGCCTAATAGTTTCCTAAAAGTTCTAAAAGATGTAAACTGCCACAAGTCACAGAGGAGCAAGAGTAATTATAAATGGTCTAAAAATCATCGTTGGCTTGCACTGAGGGATTTTTGGTGCTTAGCGGGAGCCTTGTGCACTGGGTACGACCATCTTATTTAGTTCACCAAAGTTAACTTTAACTGGGCCTATTTTTTAACCAAAAAGATTCAACGAGGCCAACCATTTGACAGAAACTGTTCTGAAGGTTCAACATTCGATTAAATTCAAATTTTTTACCCCAATTACCTGAAATCTATGTACTCGAGGGCTAGCCCTCACTTCCAGAGAAGAACACAACAGTCCAAACTGCTCCTGTAGATTATAAAAAAGATAAAGTGAACCAACCAATGAAGGAATTATCATGATAGGCAACAACTCACAATGTAAACAAACAAATAACCACAAAGAAAACATTCTAGAACTGGAAATCATAGAACTTTTATAAGCTGCGAACTTGATGAATAACCATAACAATTTAAAGCCGTGTTACAAAATAATGATTAACGTGGTTGTTAATTTTTTTACCCACCTTGAAATTTTGGAATCCTTTACATAAAACTAGGCAACTTAAGCTTTATAAACTATATCGTACAACTAAAACATCACTTTTTGAACTTGTAAAACCTCTGCCGATGACAGTGCACAAAATTTTACTTTACAAATAAAACTTGAAACCTAAGTTCTTTAAACTGCACTGAACAATTGGAAACAATTGAACACACATTCTTGTACTTACATACAACTGAGTCACTGACGAAATCACTAGTATTGTTGGATATAGAGGGGAAATATACTAGAAAATGACAGATGAAGGGTGGGGGAAGAAATACATATGGTGTGTTACAGAATAAAAACTAAAAGGATAAAAGTTTTGGCTTCATTCTTTCGCCTTTATTTCTCCCTCCTCCCTTCCCTCGCACCACCTTCTTCACCTTGCTTCCCCCCCCCCCCCCCCAAAAAAAAAAACTGAATTTTCCCCCTTCCTAACAAAAAACTAATAACGAAAACAAAAAAATCCAAAGGTTATTAAACAAGGAAGATGTGCATCAGCTCAATTGGCAAGGGCAGTGTATCCACCACCTTGCACCTGAGTTCGAATAAAAAAGGTTTCTTTTCTCCTCAGAAATAAAACAAAAACTTAAAAGGTTATTAAACAAGGAAGATGTGAGTTAGGCCCAGTTGGCAAGGGTAGTGTGCCCACCACCTTGCACCGAGTTGTCTAAAACTTTCCATTTGTTCCCACGAGAAACAGGAGGGAGACCATGACTACCTTAAGATTTTGTAGACAACTATCAAGCTCACTACCACATTCAGTACCATCTTTCGACGAGCTACTTTCTGAAGAAAAAAGTTGCTCTTCTCCTGAGACTTCACCAACCAAAGCTTGCTGCAATAATAAAACAAGCAATGCATTAAATTGTAATTATTGCATACTAATCAATACAGTAACATTTTCATTCATATAATTTAGATAGTTAGATTTAAGTAAAAGCATCAAAACCTCAAAAAGGGAATACATAGATTAAGATACCCAGAAGAATAACCAAGCATTGAGGCAGGGCATTGCTCTGGATATGAGTTTTAAAAAAGTGGTGGTAAGAACTCAGGCCAATATCAAGTAATTCAGAAAGCAACACATGCAGCTAACCCAATCCATCTGGTGAATTTTATACACACTCAATTATACAAATCATTTGGACATCCATTTCAAGCTATCATTTTTTTCCCATGGTTATAACTCTTGTGAGTTAGTAGGAAGATAAATGAAAAGAATTGTAAATTGAAAAGAGGAAATTAAGTAATTACTCCTCGATAGTGACCTAATTTCGAAAAACTAGAGGAATAATGAGATCTAGGATTCTTGCTTGAATTCCTTGGTTGGAAATGGGACAGTGCTGTCGCATCTATGGACAACAAAAATAAAATCATTGCTTAATAAAGGTGGCCAAATGGAGCTTAGTTGCAAAAGAAGTCTGTACAAAGCAAAAGGAAAGAAAAAGAAAATGCACAATATGCATGGCTGCACAAAATTTCTGATACCTCAAGCAAGTCATATTGTAATCTGGGGACATTAATTGGGTTCTACCTAACTCCCCTTTTTATCTTTTGGGATTATAGTAGCGAAAACCAAATCAACTGCTGAAGCCAACCATTCAAAACCAAAGTGGCCAGTTTGGTTCTACATTTGTGGTTTTCGGAAAGTTTGACTTGGTGTTTCATATTCCAAATTGAATTCTGTCTTGGTTTTCAAAAATTTCCTTATCTACATTATCAAGCTGACTTGAATGATGCTACTAATGGGTCTACCAAGTTACATACAATAATTCCTCTCCATTAGCATTCACCTAACCCCCACTAAACATCTGCTTTTCCCTTAAATATGTCATCTACGTCATCAAGAGACCAAGATACCAACATTCTAGCAACTCTCTTGGTCCTAGGAATTTTACTTATATCTTAAAGCAGAAAAGTCTCACAAAGTAACTTTACAAAGGCATACCAGCAGGAGTTTCTTATGCTGTTTGCGTTGAGGAAGAATTCCAAGAGCATCTAGCATTGATTCATCCAATTCTACAAAGTATATGTTTGGTAAGAAACAGTTAGAAGAAACATTTGTGTGAATTTGAAAGGCGTGGATTTTAGTACGAAACAGTTATAGAAACAGAAAACTTCCTCTATAAGTTTTCCAATTGTATTGAATGAATAAATCAGTTACAAAGATGTGAATATATACAGCCTTAGCTGCCTTAGGCTAGTTACAAGAATACCCTCAACTACCTTAACTAATTACAGTTACTAACAGAACTAATTACATTTAGCTTTAACAAACTATTTAACAGTAACTGTATTGGATGACTTGTCATTCTCCCTAATACACCCCCTCAAGCTAAAGGAGGAATCAGAGAGGATTCCAATTGGAAGCTTGGAACACAGATAAGAGAATCTGCTTTTAGACAAAGATTTAGAGTGGAGATCAGCCAATTGGTCTTCATTGCAAACATAGTGGACTTTGATGAGATTTGCGAGTACCAACTCCAAGATGTAGTGATAGTCAATCTCAACATGCTTGGTTCAAGCATGAAAAATAGGATTAGATGCTAAAGAGATTGCTGAGATATTATCACACCATAGTGTAGGCAATGTAGGTAGAGGGAAATGAAGATCTTTGAGAATTTTACAGACCCAAGTGAGTTCTGCAGCAGTATGTGCTAAAGAACGATATTCAGCTTCTGTAGAGGAACGAGCAACAGTGCTTTGTTTCTTTTCACTCCAACTGATGAGATTAGAGCCAAGAAATACACAATATCCATTGGTGGACCGCCTATCAAATGTGTAGCCAGCCCAATCAGCATCAGAGTATGCTGAAAGATTGATAGGACCTTTAGTGAACCATAAACCATGGGAAATACAACCTTTAAGAAATCTGAGGACCCTTTTTGCTGCTTGAAGATGTTGTTCTCTTGGAGCATGCATAAATTGACATATCTGATTGACAGCAAATGCAAGATCCGGTCGAGTCCAAGTGAGTTATTGTAACGCACCAACTATAGAGCGATATTCAGTGGGATTTGATAAGAGAGGCCCACTGTGATCCAATTTCTTAGAACCAAGAGGAGTGCAACAAGGTTTCGCACCCTCCATATTTGTTTTCTTAAGGAGATCAAGTAAGTACTTGGTCTGATGTAGAAAGAGTCCTTTGTTAGATCTGTGTACTTCCAACCCCAAGAAATAGTGTAGAGGACCAAGATCTTTCACTGGAAACTGAGTGCTAAGTTGTTGTATAAATTGTTGACAAAGGTGAAAGTTGGGTCCAGTGACTTAAGATATCATCCACATAAACAAGGACAATGACCAACTGAGGTTCATTACAGACAAACAAAGAAGCATCAGATTGGGATTGGTGAAACCCAAGTGTACGAAGAGCTTGAAACAATTTATCAAACCAAGCTCGAGGAGCTTGTTTAAGACCATTTAAGGATTTCTTCAGCTTGCAAACAAAACTGGGAGAGTTAGGATCAATAAAACCAGGATGTTGTTGCATGTAAACATCCTCCCTTAAATCTCCATGAAGAAATGCATTGCTAATGTCTAATTGGTTCAAAAACCAATCATATTGGACAGCAAGTGTAAGGAGAATCTGAATGGTAACTGGTTTAGCAACAGGACTGAAGGTTTCTTGAAAATCAACTCCTTCTTGCTGATGAAAGCCCTTTGCCACCAAGCGGGCTTTGTGTCTGTCAATGGTTCCATCAAGATTTTTCTTGACCCGGAACACCCATTTACAACCAACTACATTTTGAGAAGGATGAGATGGAACAAGAGACCAAGTGTCTGTGGTTATTAAAGCATTAATTCAACCTGCATTGCAACGCTCCAGTGAGCATGCTTTGATGCTTGCAAATAAGTACTCGGAACAAATTCAAGATCAGATCAACTGGAAGTGGATGTTTCGTTGCCGCATAAGCTCTGGACTTGTATATTCCAGCCTTAGATCTTGTAATCATAGGATGTGTATTCCCACAAATAGGTGGATGACTTGTCTGAATAGGCACTAGAGAGGATTCTCTGAGAGAGACAGAACTGGAAGAACTGTGAGAATTATCCATTGATTGATTGCATGAAGGATTCTCAGTTGAAGTTGAGATATGAGTGATAGGATTAGGTACAGAAGTATAGTGTGGTTCTGAAGAGTTACTAGCTGTAGGAGAACTTGGGAAGTGTTTGCTGAAGTGAAGGTCCAAAGATGAAAAATATTCTAAAGATGAATTCCCTGAATTGGAACTGTGGAGCTACAGTGACTTAAATGGATAAGATTTTTCATCAAATACAACATGTCTTGATATGTAGATTCTATTTTTCATGGGATCAAGACACCTATAGCCTTTATGTTGAAGACTATATCCCAAAAACACACAACTTTTGCTTTTAGCTCCAATTTTCTGTGAATGTAAGGTTTAAGCCATTGATAACATTGACAGCCAAAGACTTTCAGTTTGGAGTAATCTGGGTGTTTGGTTGAAGAGAAGTTCCCAAGGTGACTTTGTAAGACCAGAAATAGGAAGTCTATTAATAAGAAATATTGCAATGGAGAATGCTTCAACCCAAAAAACCTGAGGAACATGAGAGGCAACAAGTAATGTTCGAGCTGTCTCAACAAGATGTTTGTGCTTCCTCTCTGCACATCCATTTTGTTCAGGAGTATGTGGACAACTAAACTAATGTAATATACCATGTGCACTAAGAAATGAAGCAAGAGAGTGACTAGTGAATTCACCCCTTGAATCTGAACGCAAAATCTTGATTTTATTTCCACTAAAGATTTCTACATAGTTTTTGAAAGTAACAAATGTAGAAAATACATCGGACTTGGACTTCAATGGAAAAAACCAACTATATTTGCTAAAGTCATCAACAAGAAGTAGGTAATACTTGAAACCACTATTAGATGTGACAAAGGCAGGTCCCCACAGATCACAATGCAGAAGTTGGAGACTTTGAGTTGTTGATGAAGAAGCCACTCCAAAAGGAAGCTTGTGGTTCTTAGCAAGTGCACAATCTGAGCAGAAAAAATCAACAGTCTTCTTGCCTTGCAATGCAAAATTATTGGTAGATATGACCCTTCTAAAAATTGAGGAAGGATGTCTTAAGCGCTTGTGCCATACTGTGACAGGTACTTTGATGCTGAGAAAAGCTGAAGGTGGAGAAGTATGAGAACTGGGGAAACCTTATAGAGGATAGAAACCATCCCTAACAGGTCCTTGCAAAAGCATCTTCCCCGAAATGCGATCCTTGACAGTGGATCCATAAGGGTCAAGAGTCAATGAATAGTTATTATCCTTAATAAATTGATAAGCAGACAAGAGATTATGTTTCATGAAAGGAACATGTAAAACATTTCTCAACTTAAAGGAAGTATGAGTAGTGTGCAGAGGTGATGAACCAATATTATGGATAGATAATCCTTTACCATCTCCAATGTACACTTTGTCCTCTCCAGTGTAGGGAGTAGGAGAAGAAATATTGGCTACATCATTGGTGATGTGGGAAGTGGCGCCAGAATCAATTAACCAAGGCTGAGAGGGTTTGGCTGAATGATGCACCACATGGCAGCAAGTTTGGCTGGAGGAATTTGACCACAGATGTCCGGATTCATACGATCAAAGCAGTCAATTGCCTCATGACTGGTAGAACCATAGATCTGACAAGGAACTTTGAAAGTGGAAGAACCTTGATAATTGCAAGAGCCTTGATAATTTCTATTTCCACGATTATTGGTGAAAGTACCACGATTATTATGAAAATTGCGATTGCTGCGATTTGAGAAGAAATTACCTCGAGATGGCTTACCACAATTTGAGTTAAACCGAGAAGCAGAGTGAAGTGGTTGGTTCTGAGCAGCAAAAGCAGATGGAGTAGGAAGCAGGGGAAGCTGAGAAGGCTTGAAAGGGCTCAGTTGCAGAGGATGAAATAACAGTCTTGCGGCGAGCTATAGACAACTCTTTGGTGAGTAAGAGACCATGGAGTTCATCAAGGGATGTAGAAGATAACCGCAGCATGATGGAATCAAATAAAAGACTCGAATTCATCAGGCAATCCATGTAGTGTGGTAGCAATTAGGTCACAATCGGACACTGAAGCACGCTTGCAAGGAATCAGCAATTTCCTTGATTTGTTGGAGATACTCGGAGATGGACTGAGATCCTTTCTGAATTGATTGAAGTCACAATCGCAATTGGTGAAAGTGAGCCTCCGAAACTCACCACAATGCTGTTCAAGCTTCACCCAGAGTTCGGGAGAAGAGGAAACCCCAACCGTGAACAGAATGATCTCTTCTGATAGGGTAGAATTAAGCCAGATCAAGAGATTTTGATCCTTTTCATACCAATGCTCGAAGGTAGGGTTCATCGAGCGACAAATCTCAGTGCCATCAATGATACCAAGAAGTTTGTATCACCTGAAAATTGGAGCAAACGGTGCTTACCATGGCAGATAGTTGGATCTTTTCAGCTTGATCAGCACCATACTGCGATGTTGTGAATCGTAAGAGAGGTATACGAATTCAGAGGACTTGGATTAGAAGAAGAATTAGGGTTTTGGTCGCAAGGGGAGATGATCGGAGAAGACGATCCAGTTGGTGGCAATTCAAATTGAGCAGCCATATCTTGCAGAGATCAAGATTCAAGAGAGATCCGAAAAATCGAAGAATCAGAGAGAAGAAAGCAAGAATCGATCGATTTGACGAGCGGAAGAGAAGGTCGGTGCTGTGAAGCAGAATGGCAAGATACCATATAGAAACAGAAAACTTCCTTTGTAAGTTTTCCAATTGTATTGAATGAATAAATCAATTACACAGATGTGAATATATATACCCTTAGCTGCCTTAGGCTAGTTACAAGAATACCCTCAACTACCTTAACTAATTACTGTTACTAACAGAAATAATTACATTTAGCTTTAACAAACTATTTAACAGTAACTGTATTGGATGGCTTGTCATTCTCCATAATAAGAGTGACAAGAAGCAGTTGTGTTAAAACGTAGTTGCTATGAAATCTGTATATCAGCAATATAACCTTTTGTCTGCAGTAAAGTAGCCAGTACACTCAACGAACCAGTAACTTGTATATCATCCCCACTCGTAATATAAGAAATCAAAGCCTCCCTACACAGATGATTAGCGTCATGATGAACAATAAACAAGACGGTACAAAGGAAACAAGTGAAAAAGTTAGCCATAAAATGCAATTCTTTATTATGTTACCTCAAAGACAAATGAGAATCACAATAATCATTTCTCTTGTAACATCCACTGGGTGAATTTGGGGAGAGCTTGACATGTTTGGCACGTCAACTCTTAATATTCCAACACCGTCCTTGGTATTACTGCCTGGCGGTTGACTTTCATGTGCAAAACCATAAAAAGACGTATGGCCATTTGGTTTAGCTCCAGACTCTGGAGAGAAAGCATCTAACGGACAGAAAAGAGCAGTAGAAATGGTATTTGCCAAATCCTTGATTTTCACTATGCGCAGGATGCAACAAACTAAGTACAAAGACGTGGCAACACCAATTTGTATTCCCTGGATTTACAAGCCACCAAAGGTTAAATAAGAGCACGTCACATTTTTATAATTGTAGAAGAAACAAAATGGGTATGTATCCATACTTCGACAGCTTTTATGGTAAGCGAAGGGAGAAGCAGCGGGAATATCAAAAGCTGCAAGATGTTATCTGTAATTAACCACCCAACATCAGGAATTCCTGCAGAAATAACATCACTAAAATAGTAGAGATTGTCCTCGATCTCATCAACAGCAGTAGAAATTAATGTGGTTGTGTCTGCGAACTCTGCACCCGGGTTTCTGTTTCAACATTCCAATGAAACTTTTTAGAGAAAATAACTGTATTCTGCTAAAGTAAAATCAGAATATACCTAGGACTCTTACTTCGTAGAGTCAGAAACCAATGCATTTAGATTGATGCACTGCTTTCGGAAAAATTTAACCAGGTTTGAAAAATAATCTGCATGAGGGGCACTGGTGACATATCTGTTGACACTTTCTTCTCCAACTGAAAAATCACATCAAACTTTCATGTATCAAAATAAGTTGCACACAACAAATTTTAGATCTGAGAGAGGGAGAGAGAGCCCCCGGCGGGGGCGGGGGGGGGGGGGGCGCGATGATGGAATAACTGAAACTCACCATGATAAACATTAAGCGTCAAAGCCCGTATGGCAGTGCGGACCATGCTCTCCTCATGAAAGGCAAAATGTATTGCCTCATCATAGAGTGGAAATGAAACCACTTCATCCTAGATGCACAAAAAGAGATGCATGCATGGCTATCATTCATGAAATTAGAAAATAAAGAGATTAACTAATGGATGTATACTTTATGTGCAAACTTTGTAAGTCATGGGCCATGGCCGACAAGCAAGCAATAAGAAAATTTGAGCATGAAGGGTAAATAACCCTCAATTCCTCACACTGCATCTCCCTTGTACATGAATGTATATTTTTTGTAAAACTTGAGGCTATTCGAAGGGATCTATCCAATATTAATGCATAGTTTTTCATCATTTGCAATGAAGTTCACTACCTACAGTTACTTGCAACGTCAGACAATGACAACCTTTATATGGTTGATCGACAAGTCATTAGGTATATTGGGTAATAATGAATTAGGAATCGTGCATTCAAATCATTAGGTATCTTCGTAATAATGAATAACAAAGCCCTGCTTCATATAAATAAATAAACAATTAAAATAAAGTGAATTTCATTTGAAAGACGAGTTAGTGCTAAAAATACAATAAAAAGAAAAAATCATTACTTATATTTTGAGTTTTTACAAGCAGAGAAATTGTATTCCTGTCTAGCTTCCCACTTATTGCTCTTCACAGACCATACAGTGGAATCAAACAACATAACCAACCAAACATGTCATAAAAGGTACTGTTTGAAGATCAATTGTAAGGATAGTGCTACGCAGTAAGTAATTATCATAAGGACAACAAAGAGACCAAAAACAAACCTTAAGAAGGATATATAGTATGACAGTAGCTCTTCATTTTGGAAATCAAATGAATACGTTATCAAGTAGTTCATATGTTCATTACTGAACATGTAGTCTGCAAAGAAAGTTGATTGGTCAAGGCACCAAATCTATCAGCATGCCATAACCAACTGGAGCAACTAAAGAAACTGAAAATTATCTGGTTCTTTCTTCAAAAGCAACTTACATAGAGCATGTTCATTTTTTAGGTTCTGGATCATAATGCTGATTGTCTGTAGCAACTGAAGTGACACGGTCACAGTTCTGCTAACCATCAATATACGTACAAACTCTCCCATGACTTGCTTCTCCATGAAAAATCTACAAAATTGACAGAACATTATGAAACGTTAACAGTATGATATGTACATCCAGCAACACTAAGCATTGAGAAGCCTTACTCAAAAAAGGCAGAGTCATGCTGGTCTCCATACGTTATTAACTCTGCCATGGATCTCAGCGCCTCAATAACGAAATCCTTGAAACGGACTAGATGTTGGTATATTGAGGAAAACAATTCAAAAAACAAGAATTCTGAAAGAGGAAGAAAATGGACTCCGGTTACCTTGTTTACTTCATTCACAGTTTGAAGTTTTATAAGCTGATCAGTTAAATACCTGCTTCATTAATGAAATATATATAAAAAAAACATATACCACAAAAATATCACATAACATTCATTTAAATCAAGGCCCAAAACACCAATAGTTCTCCGATGACCAATGGTTCTGAATGACACAGAAATAAACTATGCACCAACAGAGGATCAAGATTGGAAACACATCAAAGGGGAAAATTGTGGATAAAAACAAGGACCTATTTGATGAAAGACTAAAGAAATAAGATCTTCGGATATTAGGAACCAAAAACATACAAAGGGATCCTTATAGATTATGAAACAGAGTCTTTGAAAATACAACTAAAGGTTAATAATTATAAAACAAATACTTGGTTATGGGCATAATCCTGCTAAATCGTATTCAAATTTTTTAAGGGCTGGCATAACTGTAGCTTGTTTCAAACCTATAACTATACCAAATGAATTCTTAAATGAAATCTTTGGTTCTTGGCAAAATAGATCAAACATGGAAGATTGAGATACTCATTTAAGAGTACACTGATGGCTCCAGTTACTGCATAAGAAAAGTTATTACTAAAAGGCAATATCATGTATTGCAAAACCTAAGGAGGTCTCGTCTTTAGTATTCATGTAAACATCTGAAACTATACTTAGTGTGTATGTGTACATAGAGAGGGCCTGCACCCCTCCTCATCATCAAGATGCTACGCCATTGACCAAAAATCATCGTACAGTTAGAAGAAGTAAAACTTCAAAATGAGAAGATTAAACCTTTACTAAGTTCCAACTTTTTATGCATTTGATTTCAAGGTCTCATAATGTAATTGTAGGCCATTCATAAATCGTCATGAACCCCTTCCAAGTCAAGATTCACCTCACCAGGCTAGTCGTGGAGCAAGCAGTATTCTTCATTGTGGCTTTTTAGAACTTATGAAATGTAGAATATTATACGACTTGGAATTTAACTAGCTTGCCACATTATCTTTACAACTCCAGTACAGAACCCAGAGGCATAAAAATTCCTGCTGTTCCAAAATTAAACTTTGTTTTCCAAAGAACATTCAGGCAAGTGTAGTATCCCCGTCATCTACACAATATGATCTCCAACCTTGACTGAAACCCCCCGTATCAAGGTTTGTTTTTCTATCCCTCAATTCCAAAGTGTGTGTGAAGATAACACTCCTTTCACTAATGTAGGGCTGGAAACAGATTGTCATTCTCAATTTAAACATTCGGTATCTAAGTTTCCCTCAACCAAGAACATCACCGCTTAAAACTCTACTCACTGAACTATAAACCAAAACGATTTTACACTGGTAATATAAGGTTCTATCCACACAAATTCTAAACTGAGAATTTTCAATTTCCCTATTTTCCCTCCATTTTTCTCAGAAACCAAGCAGAACAATAAACAAAACAAAACAAAAGGAATCGACTTTGCACCATATTAACTCTAATAATCCAAATTATAAACTAAAATTCAAAATTCTCAGTCACAATACAAGCAAATTGATCAAAACAAACACGCAGCAGACCTGTAATTACCCCAATTAACCATTACCACCAACTTAGTGGGAAAAGGCTTTGTTGTAAACATTAACACCAACTAAATTGCCCAAATAACAAATAAATCTTTTCAAATTAGCCATAAACCGAGCTCGAATGAATAAAAAACCTGAGCTCGTCTAAGGAGAAGCGATCCCTGGACTTCCAAAACGAAAACCACATGATTTGAATTCTTCTTCGCTTTTCCCTTCGGAATTGATCAGATTAGAGCTCCCTCACTGATGGAATTCATGGCGGTAGGGATTTCGGAGATCGAAGACGAAAGGAAGGGTTTTAGAGCAACTCCAGCCATGGACCCCTCCTGTCAATCCACTATTCAATCAACCCAACTGCCTTAAATAATTAGTAACTATCATTAATGAACAGTAATTGCCATTTACATCTCCACCCTTGGAACCCTCCCTCTGACAATAAGCAATTAAAATAATAATTTTTTTTGTTTGTTTAAATAATAAAAAATTACAAAAGCTCTCTCTCTCTGAAACAAAAAAAATAAAAAATTGCAAAGCCCTCGAGCCACAGGCCCGTCAACTCCCCACCCCACCTTCACTCGGGCTCCCACCGTCGCTCGGCCTCCACACCGCTAGGCCTCTCTCCACCGGCCCTCGGGCCCTTTGTCCTCGCCTGTCGCCCGAGCAACCAGCCTCTGTTGGAGTTGCTCTTATAGAGCATCGAGTTGAGCAAAGCAGCTTCGGAAAAGGAGGGAGGGGAGAGAGAGAGAGACAGAGACAGAGAAGGAGAAGAAAGAAACAGAAATTTTGCCAGAAAGGCAAGCAGGCCACCTTGCATGCCTGTGGAGCTGGGGCAATACTAGGTCTCCGGGTTCTGGGCTGGGTCTAAATATTTTTCAGGCCCTTCCTATTGGTTCATTTGCTCGATTCTTTCCAGGCAGGCCTTGTTCGGCCGGGTTGAAATCTTTGTGTTGGGCTGAGACTTGGGGATGAGCAACGGTTATGGCGAGCGGGTAACCGCGGTTATTTATCTATAACCATTTATTCTCATACCCGCATAACCGTTTACCCGTTGGGTAATTGTCTAAACGGTTATACTCATATCCATAACAGTTTATAAACGGTTAACCATACCCATAACCGTGTACTAATTTAACCGTAACCGTTTAGTACTTGTTTACCCATTTATCATTTTTAAATCCGTTTATCCTTTCTTTTTTACCATTTACTCCTTTTTCACCCGTCTACGTATTTTTAACAACTTGAAAATTAAAATAGAAAAATTTGTCATAATTTTGTTTTTCTAACAATTAAACACCGTTATATGTACATTCATCATACATTTCCTCATTTTAATTTTTTAAGTCCGTATACCATTCCAATAATTGAAATAATAATTTACAGATGATATTTTTAACTATTAGCAATGAAGGTAATATAAAATTTGCTAAGTATTCTTGGGTTATGAAAACTGTTAAAAGATAGTATTCTTGAGTTATTTGACTTGGAATGTAAAATGTTAACATAATATATATAATGGACCATGAAATTAAAAGTGGTTAAGGAAAACTATATTATATTAGCTATAGAAATCATGCACTATAGTCAATAGCATTGATCTAAGTTTTGTCCGATAGGGAACATGGTTTGTGTTAATTTTACATATATAAAATAAATGGTTACCCGTTTATAACCGTGGTTAATACACATAACCGTCCATTTAAATTTCACAAGTAAACGGTTATACCCATAACCGTTTATTTATCTAAACGGTTACCCATAACCGTAACTGTGAAATTTAAATGGGCGGGTGACCGCGGTTACCCATAACCGATGGGTATTTGCCCATCCCTAGACTTGGGGACTTTGTGATTTGAATTCTTCTACATTCGCATACTAAATCTCCACTATACACTGTTGATTTTTCTTGAACTTTTATTTTAATCAATTTTTCTTCTGAAAGTTAAAACAAATTCTCCAAATTAGATTTTCAAATATTTCATCGAACATTTTGTAATATTTATCATATGTTGCCTGTATACAAGGTTCTTAAAAAACGTTAGGCGCTAGTTGGCTGGCGAGTAGAGGCATAACGTCTAGGTGGCCGCCTAGACTGATTTTTAGAACACTATCTGCACGAGAGACTTTCAAGGGTAAAAAAGTCATTTTGTCCCTCGCTAACACATATTCTCAGTAATTATTAGTGAGGCACACAATGACTTGTTCATCACTAACAGGAGAGATTTATTATATAGTTAAAATTAATTATTAGTGGGGGATTGTTGACCCTAAAAATTACAAGACCTACGTGGCACATAGGCCAAACAACTACTAAGCTAACTACGTCCTTGTGAATGCGGGTGTGCCAATTCATGACTGAGCTCGGTTGGGTGAGTAGAATATATATGGTGGTATGGTGTCGAACACGCTACTGACTTATGCAATGAGGGACTACAGCAAAGAAAGTAACATTGTCGGCCTAGGTTTCTAAAAATAAAGACAAGGTTACTCAATTCACTACTAAGTTCAGGATCTTCTACACCAGGTTTTGGCAGCTTCGACTATATTTGTGAAAATGTAAGTGCGTTGAATCAGTATCAAGCTGTATGGACGATACTCAAAGGAGATGAGTGTTTTTAGTATGAATTTCATTCAGCCGTTTGAATGCCAACTCTGAAGTGCACATAGCAATAACTTTTTGTAGAACATCGTGCTTCATTGGAAAACTAATGAAGTGACCTTATTCGACAAAAAGAATTGAAGACTCATTGCTGGCTGAGAGTTGTATAAATAACCGAACAAAACATAAGCTGTGATGTTAATCTAAATTGAAAATGCTCCTTGATCGCTTGATTCTACAGCTCCAATAATGTTAATCAAAGCTAAATGTGTCGATTGTCAACACAGTGCTATTAATCTAAACTGAAGGTGTATTGACGAAGGGTTAGGATAATTAGTATTTTTTTTTTTCCAAATGTGAGAAGGTTTCAAGTAGAGCGAGGTTTTCGCGTGGAGTTCTTAAGTTTATGTGTTGAGTTAAAGAGGTTTTTCACGTTATACAGCCACTTCTTTTTATCATGGTGGATATCGTGACGATCGAGCTTGTCGAGGTTAAGTTCTAATAGGACTATGCCTCATCAGCACCCACATGGATATCCTTCACATTATCTCTTCAACCCCTCTTTAACTGAAACTCAATCTCTATCTGGTCTCAGCTTCTTTGACTTGAACTAGGATTTTGAACCTAGTCCCTTTATGCATGTAATTCATCTTTATCTGAACAGTTGTAGGTTTTGATTCCTTGGATAATTCGATTCTTATAAAAAATTATCAATCCTTAACAATTTCAATTCCATTAGGACTCGACCGAGCCACGTCTAAATTTGATCCCTTAGTAATCCTAATTTCACTAAGACTCAGTCGAATCATACTTTCTAGGCAGAGAAAACCATCTGGCCTAAGTGACAACCATTAGGTCAAGAGTCATAGTCTTCCTGCTTGACTTATCTTTTCATGGCCCAAATCCAATATTTTAGGCCCAAGCATTACCCCTTCACTTATGAAATCCTCAATCATAGACACCTAGCCATAAGGTTTTGTCGAAGCAAATATTATTCAACTGCGTCCCTAGCTTGCGATAAATGCCTCAATTCTAGTACGCATGCTAACTTACCTCGACTGACAAAAACTTATTACTTTTACTGTTCGTTGAGTTCACACGGTGAGTGTCCAAATTCGGCTATTCATGCGCCACATTTTCCTAGACAACTTGGACATCCAAATGTCACATTTTGATGAACTTGCTTCAAAAATCAAATCGTCAACCTTAATATCAGGTTCGATAGTGTGCAAATCGGCCCAAAACACCTTGATTTTCAAAAAGCTCAATGATTGATAAGCATGACCCGAGATTGCCTTGGTTTTGAAACTTAAAAACCCTAAAACTTCTCCACATACTCGCCTATAAAACCCAAAAATTTCCTCTTCCTTGTTCACGCTTTCAAAATCCTAAAAACGAAATAAAGAACATACCTGGGGTTTTGGGGGGAAGGAGACTTATGCTTTTATTAAGCTTTAATACTCCTTGTCTTAGGCTTTTGTCTACAATTTTGAATTTCCAAGATTCTCCAACCTTCTTCATCTGCAAACTTCCATGCCTTTTAGATGGTAAACACTCAATAACTCCATCAACCACCTCACCACAAAGATTTCCAGATATCCTGATGCATCAGAAGCCACATCTCAGGTCTTTGGTTCTTTGATTAAGAACATTGTGACATACTCGATCATACTCTGGATTCCTACTTCAAATATGCATTAGATAGATAATGCCATAGAACGTACTTGGCTTCATACGCTGGTCTAAATAGAAGTAGTCGTACTCGGGGTCAGAGTTCAAAGTTACCGCTATGATGATTTTTGGATTGCCCTTTGGGTTATTCCCCTAAATGGCCTAAAGCCCATGCTTGAATGTTATAACTCACAATCTTATGTTGTATAATCTTTTCAAAAGTCGGATGGTACATTGGAACTTCCAGATTAGGGGCCATGTCTCTATGTCAGTAGTTCGCCTATAGCAACTGCGCTTAATGTGGCTTAAGCCTCCAAAGTTGTTAATTGTAACACCAGGAATGGGCTACAGAAGACTCCTCTAACATTATCACTATGAATTTTTAGACTTGCTATTATGTGAAGTTTCAAAGCTATGTGTTATTTAGGATATTGAGGATTCTCTTTACCACAAAAAAAAGGAAAAAAAAAACGAATCAAACACATAAAAGTCGCAAAATAATCAAATTTAAATTCTTATTAATAAAAGAATGTGGGTTTGATAGAGGTGTGATTGAACCCAAATTGGACTGCTTATATATCTTCGGAAAAGAGAATAAAATCATTGGTGTAGTTCTAGTAAAATATGATACAACACATGTTTACATTGGTGATCATCTTTGACGACTAGCCTACTATGAGGCATTAAGGAGATGAGTTCTCCATTAACTTATGTACGCATAGACGACGGAGCTGTAATTAATTGAGGTTAAACCCAAATTGGACTACCCACATATCTTCTCATATAATTGAAAAGTCAAACCACGTGTAGTTCGCTAAAAGGTCCTTAGTGATGTCGGTGATGCTTGAGAATGTTCAACCTTAGTGTGATCAGACTTCCTAGGTGTGGGGCTGTCGAATTCTCGTCATCAGGCATCTCTTGTATTCCTTGGACATAGTTGCTGTTGAGGGTAGGCTTATTTGCCACGCCCTCATCTTCATTATTGTCAGTGAGTTCGTGCTGATCAGACTTGCCTTGGTCATTCTTCTTAGTGGTTTCCTCTTTCTTGGCTTTGCTCTTGACGAATTCTCAGCAATG